GGGGGGTGGCACTGGGGGGAGCAGGGGACATGGGGGGAGCACGGGGCACCAGGGGACACTGAGGGCATGGGGGGTGTCCTGGAACATCCTTTCCATGAGGCAGCAGAGGGGACTTGGGAAGGGGCCTGGATGGTGCCCAGGGGATGGGGGACAAACCTGTGACACCGGAGCATCCTGGCAGGGCCGGTCCCGGGGGGCACCGGGCTGGAAGAACCCCCCCCCTTAACCGGAGCTGGGATTTGATCCCGCTCCAGCGGCCGCAGCGGGAACTTCCCGCCGCAGCTCAGGGCTTTGCCCGGCTGTTTGTTTAAAATCAGCCAAAAACCCTAATCCGGAGACGACGGCGACGCGCCGGGCCCGCCGCCCACGGGCCCTCCGGGGGCTGCCGGCGGCCAAGTCGGCTGTGGAGCCGCGCGCGCCGGCCCGGAGAGCGCGGCGCAGGGCACGGATCACAGCCCTGGCTGCAGGAAGAGCCCGGGAATGCACCCCCCGATTCCTTTGGAAGCCCCGTCCACCCCCTCACTCACCTGGTGCTCCCAGGACGGGTTGCGGGTGCCCCGGGAAGCAGCCGAGCGCCCGGGCCAGGGTCGGGAAGCTCAGAGGCGGCACAGGGAGGGCAGATGGCAGCCGGGGGCTAATTCCCTGTGTCTGAGCCCCCAGGGCCCCCGGATTTGCACCCCCTTCATCCCTGCACAACCCGCTCCGCCCCGGGGGGCTCCAATTAGGGAGAATTAGCAGCCAGCAGCGCCCTGGGAGCAAAGAGGATTGGAAGTAGGGGGGGAAATTGTCCCCAAGCAGCTCTGGGCTCTTGTGGGAACCGACAGATGCTCGTGGTGCTGCTGGGGAGTGAGGGGGGGTTAATACGAATTCCAGGATCCCGTCACCACCCCCAACACATTCCTGGGCACAGGGCGTTGCACAGGGAGAGACCCCGGCGGCGAGCGAGAGACGGGCGGCGCGCGTGAATAAAACCGACTTTTAATAATGTACAGCAGAAATCGACAGCCTGGTTTTTATATTAAACAAAAGATTTCCTATATTACACCGTATTTACAGTTGCATACTGAAGAGGTAAAGTGTCTAAGTGGCTATTTTACAGTCCATCTCTAATAAAATGTACAAAAACCAAACGAGGAGGAGGGGGGCGGGTTAAGTACCAAGAGATCTGCTCGGAAGCAGGCGGGTCCCGCGGGAGCCTCCCGGGGGCCGGTGGAGCCGGCGCCGCTTCGTGTGGCCCGGGCGCTGTTGGATGCGGAGCTGAGGTCGCCGCGGAGCCGGGCTGCGGCTCCCGGGGCGTGCAAAGTGCTCGAAATGCTACATGGGCAGCGGTGCCGGCGGGGACGCCGCTCCGGCCCGTGCCGGCGCCCGCCGCGGGCTTTGGTAGAGCGGGAGGCAGCTGCAGCGGCGGCTCCGGAGGAGCAGGGTTGGGAGCCGCGGCGGGCGCCCGAGAGGAGCAGCCGGGAACGGGAAACGGCACCGGGAAAGCTGCAACGCTCGCCACCCTCGTACCTACGTGTGCCGCGTGCTTCCCGGTGGCGCCGGGGGCCTCCGGGATGCGGGAAGCGCCGGCCGAGCAGGAGGCGGCAGGAGGGGCCAAGGGGAGCGGCGCCTTCAGCCAGCGGCTCCGCGGGACGACGCAGGATAAAGGGCTCCAAAGAGGATGCAAAAAACACCGCGCACTCGACACAGATAAAAATCACAGACGGGAGAGCGGGGCTGGGAGACGACAGACACACAGGCACACGGACAGCGAGGACAGTGTTTAAAAACCGGAAAATAAGGGGGAAAATCCTGACCCCGGGGGTCGGAGTAGAGATGAAACCTCACCTTACAGAGCAGGCTCAAGGTTTGAGTAGAACAGTTCCAGTGTAAATCAGCTGTGTGCATTTGGTTGCCTTTTTTCCTTCTTTTTCTTTTTCCTTTTTTTTTTTTTTTTTTTTTTTTGCAGTGATTTCTTTACAAACAAACAGGTAGAGAGGTAATAACTCTAGATTGGTTTTCTTCTCTTAGAAAGACTTAACAATCTTAAAAAAAGTTAAAATCCAGCCCCTCCCGGAAAATAAAAAAATAATCAAAAAGCACTCCAGTTAAAAGTTATGGCTTCGGTTACACACCACGGACACCGAGCGAGCCGACAAGCAAGCGCTACCGCCAGGGCTGCCCCGGTGCTGCCCTCGGCGCTACAGGTTCCGGCCTCCGCTGCAGACAACAGTCAAACCAATTCTATTCCCCCTGATCGGCTATTAATGAAAATCAAATTCATGCAAGTTTCCCCCCACCCCGCGAGTTATACACAGCCACTTCCAGGTTATGAGATATTTATATATGTATATTAAAAAGAGGGGAGGCTTCTTGCCTGGGGTGCCGGGGGGCTGCGTGTGGTGGGGACGGGGGGTTCGGGGGGCTCCCCGCCTGCTCCCAGCCCCGCGGCATCCCCTCCGCTCCCGGGAATGACAAACCTCAGGGGCTCCAGAGAAAAGCCCGGATTGCAGGAGTGAAGCCAAATTCAAAAAATGGTTGTAAAAAAACCAAGAAAACCCAACCAAAACGGAGGGGGTGGCAGTGAGGAACCCGGCGGGCCGTCCCTGGGGCACGAGGGCCCCGGAGGAGAGCTCAGGATGGGGAACGTTCCCGAGGTGCCGAGGAGGGCGGCACGGCGCGGGGAGGACAGCGGAGCTCGGCGCATGCACGACAAGCGCGGGCACGGGGCCGCCCGCGTGGGCACACAGCGCCCGCGGCGGAGGAGCTTTGCAAGCTTAAGGGAAAGGAGGGCGACGGTTCCGGGGAGCTGAGCAGCTGTCCAGGCTCAGCCTCTCAGAAGGGAGCACCATTTGTGGGGTTTTTTTCAATGCTTTTTCTGCATTCATGTGCCAGTCCCTGGAAAATCCGCAGAGTACGGCAAGAAAAGCCTTCCCTTTCCCTTCCCACTCCCAGCACCTTAGCACCCAGGCCGCAAGCACCCGTCGCCGGGCGCCCCCCCAACACGCACGCAGCTTTACGGGGATTTCCGTTCAAGAAACGAGAGTTACGGTTGTGGCCGAGATCCCTCAAAGCGAATCCCTCTCTCAAGTCTTCGTGCTGTCAGGAGGTGAGGAAAACAAAAGGTTTCGGATTGTTTCCTACCCAAGGAGGGAAGAGAGCGGTTCAAGAGGCTTCCTCCTCTCGCCTAGCAGCCTTGCAGGTCACGCCGTCCGGTTGGTAGCAGTAGATCGGGTAGGAACACGAGGTAGGCCTCCGTCGCACGGCTACGCGAGCACGGCAGCTTTTGTGCACCTGCCCCCTCGCTGGGGCTCAGCGCTTAGATTTTCACATCCTCCTGGACGCTGAGCTGTGAGAGGGTTTTCTTAATGCGGAGGGCCGTGAGGCGAGCCGCTCCGTTGGCGTACCAGCATTCCCGCATCATCTTCCCCATGACCCGCAGCGCCTGGGTGGGAAACACAACGGCAGACATCAGTCCTACCCTTGTGGGAGCCTGGCGAGCGCCTCCGGAGCCGCTCCGCAGATCGGAGGTGACCGTGGAGCCGGGATGGTGCGGGAGGCTTGGGCTGGATTCGCAGCTTTTCCAGCAACCAGTCCCTGCGTAACCCAGGGACGGTGACAGGAGGCCACTGTCACTGAAAAGAAGGGCTTTCCAAGGGACAACACGAGGGAAAGAGGGCAATGAACTTCTCCCTGCAATTCCCTCCGCAAAATCCATGCTGGTACAACCCCACCGCACTTCCTACAAACGGGAAGTCGGCCACGGGACTTGCTCTTGAGCTGCCTTCTGCACAGGGGCTGCGAGGATGGAAAGGGATCTTACCTCATAGCTCTGCCACCAGTTGGGGATGTTGGGCCGTAGTTTCTGATCACAGACAACCTTCCGCATCTCCTCGATAGAGGGATCGGAGGGTACCAGGTCGTAGTATGGGAGCTGATATTCCTCATGGATACCTACGGGAGAGAAAAGGGAAATGCAATTCCCGGAGAATGGATCACCACCAGGACACCCGCTGAAGGCGGCCTGATGCTGGTCTGGGCTCCATGACTCACTGCCGAGACACGTCAACGCTTTGCAATTGTTTAGAAGAGAATGAAGAAGTGGGGATTTGGGTTTGCAAGAGAAAAAAAAGGAAGTTCAGGGAAATGGGAAGCAGCTGCCCAAACTGGAGCAAAGTCAGCGCGCTGCCATCAGCGCCTCCTGGCCCCGAGGAGGGGTCATGACTGAGCAGAAGGCAGCAGGGCTGCGTCCGGGACGTGCCAGGACCCTGAGGTGGCACCAAAGCAGGACAAGAAAGTTACTTACCAAAAGAGAACTTCCCAAAGACCTCTCCGGGAATTTCACAGGAATATCGCAGCATTTCCCCCCCCCCAGAAAAACACCAAAGGCTGGGAAAATTTGGCACGAATAGCACAGGCACACATGGGAACATTACCTCCTGCGTTGCACCTTCGAGCGATCTCCCAGTAGACCAAGCCCAAGGCATAAATATCCGCGCATTTAAATGAATCAAAATGCTTCATGTTGATGGTTTCATCCAAGACTTCGGGGGCCATGTATCTGCAGAAGGAAAAATAAAAGGGGAACATTATGTTATTTTTGAGAAGGGATTCTCTGGAAAACAATAAATGGCAAGTTTTCCCACACAGTTCTTCTTAGCAGGCAAAATTCGGGACTGAACAGCCTGAATCAGAACAGACCTGGGCCCACTGGTCTAATAAAGTAAACAAAGTAACTTTAAAATAACGAAAAACAAGGCAAAAATGTCCAAAAGTACATGAAGCTCCAGACAGCAAGCCCCCAACGGCTTTGAGAATGCCAAGCTTGTTGTGAAATACCGTGACACAGAGTCTGTGTAGCTGGTCTGCACCTCCGTCTGATGGGCCCCTCAGGTGATGGCACTCGTGTCCCTTCGCCACCAACTCAAGGCACGATTCTGACATTCACCACGACACCGAAGTGCTCAAGATGGGAAACTGCAGCAGAGCTCCCCTAGGAGCTTGGGCATTTGCTAGTCACACACCGATGCCTTCAAACCCTGACCAAGAACACCGTTCTCCCTACCGTTTGGTTCCAACCCTTTGATTTGGTGCAATATCAATTGTATCGGTCACAGAATCGTGCCGGACAGCGAGACCAAGGTCAGCGATGGCACACGTGCCATTCTTCTTCACCAAAATGTTCTTGGATTTCAAGTCTCTATGAGCAATCCCAGGCTTTCCTAATAGAGCAAAATAAAAAGCAGCGGGGGTCAAGGTGTGGTGAAACCTGTTAGTCTCATTAGTGCAGAAGCAGTTACAGATTGCAGGGCGTTAGCTAAACCCTCAGTCTTGCGACATATTTTCATTGTTTGGAGACACTTTAGCATTGAAGAAAAGAGCAAGCGCGGCCAGCTCCTGGTGAGCAGAGTCTCCATTTATGCTGCCAAGGTGCCGCTGATGCAGTAGCAACCAGGGGCCTCAAGAGGGACATGGATCCCATCGTGCCAGGCAGCAAACGCAGACGTAAGTTGTTCATAACACTGGCACTGCCTGCACCAACACCCCATCCAAGCAGCACCACTTTTAGGACATGGATGGGAAACACTGATGCAACTCCCAGGAGTTAGACTGAGATTAACACATTTCACAGGCAGCCAACAAAGCAACCAGGCGATTTTTCGCCAATACTGACTCAACCCACATGAATCTGGGCCAATACAGCCAATGTTTTCTGTGCAGCACATTAGTCCTCCTCGCCAGTTCTGCTTTTCTCTCCCTTCGAGAGCTCACAGCATCTTTCCAAACTCGCCTCTTACCCTGAGTACCCACGATCTCCATGTGCAGATGGGCCAACCCGCTAGCAGCCGACAGGGCAAGTTTTATCATCCCCTCGATAGTCACCGTGTACCGATTCAGGTAGTCGAAGAGAGACCCATGCTCGTGGTAGTCGGAGACAAGCCACAGCTGGGTCCACGTTCCATTATCTGCAGCAAGAAAGAGACAGCGTTGATGGGTACAGCACAGCAAACCAGCGCGAATTCCGTATCCTATTTCCGTGAAGAATCCCTGCTCTCCCAACCGGGCCCCGTTTTACCTTTGTTGTCTGCAGCAATAAACCCCAGGATGTTCTCGTGGCGCAGCATCACGGTTTGATAGATTTCTGCTTCCCTAAACCAGGAGCGCTCCTCCCGCGACGAGAAGATTTTCACGGCCACGTCGCCGCCGCGCCACCGGCCGCGCCACACCTCCCCGAAGCGGCCCTTGCCGATGATCTCCTGCAAGACGATGGTCCGAGCCACGGTCCGCTGCACGAAGAGCGGCAACCCTACGGACAAGAAATTGCAGATCTGAGCGCCTGTCACAGCCGAGGGACCGACCCGAGGGACCGCTCTGCTTCAGAGTTTGAAGCAGAGCACTCATCCAACCTAGAATGTTCCACATTTTATAACGTTCAGCAGCCTAAGTGAGGCCTAAAATAGAAAATGGCTGCTGCTTCTGTGTGGGATGTGCCATTTGGCTGTTTGGGCAGCATCTGCATATCACTTTGAAGTAGCTTGCAAACCACTAGCGATTAGGTAGACAACAGTTGGGGAACTTCTGCTCTCTGGAACATCAAAGAAACTTTAGCCTGAATATGCAAGGAGGGGATTGCACGGCAGGCAGACTAAAGAGAGTGAACCCCCCCCAACTTTTCTTAAGAGAAAGGAGTCACTAATGTCACTCTTAGGTAACTTAGAGCTTGCATGCTGACAGCCTGTGCAGGAAAGATCCCATCAGACTTTCTGCAGGAGACGCACACCTGAACGTTTCATGGCCTGGGATTCAAGCAGGGAACGGAGTTATGGGTCACCGTTTGTTATCTCCAGTCGTATCTTAATACCTGAGCCGGAGCCAGACGTGGAGAGATCATAGACTAGATCTTGCAAGGTCTTATCCTTCGACAGGCACATTTCACAAGAGGGATCTTCCATGTCCAGCCGCTGCCGATTGTGATAGACTCGTTGATGGTGGTGAAAGACAAGGACTACTACGATCATGACAACAAACACGAGGAAGACGGGTCCGGCAATCACCGCCACCAGCTCCACAGGACCCCAGCTCGACTGGGGTTCGTTGTCTTTCAGGTGTCCTGGAGGGGAAGAAGGAGAGGGAAAGAGACTCAGAAGTGCATGACTCCCTCACATATGTTCTTTAAGGACCTTCTTGTGTTTTAATGATCCTCCTGGAGCCAGATCATTGCAGTTTGCTATTCCAGGATGGTAGAGGGCACAGCAAATAACAGTGTTAACAGGAGGCTGATCAGCTCGTCATGCAAACTAGAGTTAAAAAGACCCAAAAGAGCTGGTGCTTCAACCCCTAAAAGAGCAGGCGTTCCAGCAGCACTATGTAAACCAGGATGGGAGCCTGCTCGGGGCTGACTCTGCTAGAACAGCCTGTATTTCCTTTCCCACTTGAACTCCAAGTGGGAGCAGCAGCCAGCTCCAAGGAATCATTCCTCCCTCTTCCTCTTTTGCCCTGTAACGAGCAGGGAAGAAGAGCAAGACAATTATTTGACCTTCTGAGCATGAGCCCGATCCCCTACGGCCCCCAAGCAAACCGGGTCTCGGACTCACTAAGTAACAGGCTACAAATGGAGTGGGAAAAGGGACGAGGAAGCGCCCCAGGGCTTCTCGAGCCCTGGAACGGGGAAGGAGCCGTGTTTTCCCACACCCTGGCTCGGAGGCAGGGCTGCTTCCTCCCCGTGCGTTCAGCATTCGGGCATCCCCCCACCCGCTGCCCCAAAAAGGCTGCCCCAACGTGCCCGTACTCAGGGCTTATCACTAAAAGAGGGTTTTTTTTTCCCCAAATCTCGAAGGAAGGAAAGTGATTCTAGCAGATAAAGAAGCTTCCAAAGGGGAGCTGTCCCCAGAGAACACAGGTTGTCCCCTGGCCATGGTGGCACATGGCGTGGGACCGCAGAGCCTGTGCACATGGACACGGGCAGCAGGACCGAGGAGGTGAAAGGAGGCTCTTTAGAGCGGAGCTAGTGAGGGCAGGTGGAAAACAGCCCAAGTAAAACCCCAAACTTGGGAAGCTTCTACCCTGAAGAATAACCACGTCATTGGGTGACATTTTGTCTACCACAGGGGAGCCGAGCAGCTTCACGCCTCTGGCTGGAGTGGTTTTAGGTGTTATTTCCACTTTACAAAACCAGGAAATAAAGAGAGTGCTCAAGTTCACACGGCAACCTAGAAGAAGTGAAAGGAGAACCAAGAGGTCCTCATTCCCCATCCCAAACAGCCAACTTCTCCCCACTTCAAACAGACGGAAACACTTATTTAGCTCTTTACTCACCACTGGGAACCATTAAATCAATTTTGTTGCAGAAGTCAGAGTAGCAGCAGTGAGTATTTCGCAGGTCTTCTGAACTCAGGCAGTAGAAGGGTTTCCCAGCAGGAACCAACTTCGCTTCGGGAATGCAGGTCCGGACGTGGTGTTCGACACCGTCCAGGTTGAAGACCGAGACCATGCAGGCGCCATCCGTTTCACAGGTGGAATTCGCTTGGTTGCAGTTGGAGCACAGACAGGTCAGAGCTGTGAGAAGCAAAACAAGACCCCTGAAAACCACTGGGGGCTAAACGCACGGAGGAGACAAGTCCGTGCTTTGAAATTCTCACTTTGGTCGGGACAGGCCATTTCCAGGATCAAGAGGAAAGGGCATTAATAGCAGGACTGCAACATTTGGGATTTTGGACAAGTGAGAACTCATGGAACCCAACCTAAGTACAACAAACCAGCCAGACACCGGGAGCTGTCCACAAGATGCTTATCCTGACAATCCTTCTTCCTGTCCTTGTTGCACCTACTGGGATCACCAGAACCACGGCGGCAAATTAAGCTCAACCTTACCAAGATCCACTCCTGATTCAATCCAGGGTGGGAACTTGAGTCAGTTGGGAAAAAGGGTGGGGGAAATTTAGAGCAACCAATACATTTCACCCAGGTTCCCTCAACGGGGACTCTTCACCGTGCCCACGACTGCCCCCCACAGCAGATTCCTTGGGCTCCACCTCAACTCGCATGAGACAACAACCAGCCGCCAGATGCCAAATCCAAATCCAAAGCAACTCTGCAAGCCGAGCGTGCTACGCCCAACAGGATCAGCCACTTCTTTAGTAACTGCTTTCCTGATCTGAGACACTACCTTGGGTCAAATACATTCCTGGCTTTTCGCCTGCTCTCCCTGAAGACGCTCCACGAAGACCAAAGGAGAAACTCCGAGACGGCTTCCCACATTTTTCAGCCTTCCAGCTGTCCCTGCGCTTTCTCCCAAGCTGCCTGGAAAAGGAGCTATGAGCGGGTCCCGAGGCATCGCCATCCTTGGGAACAGAGAGGCTCGCAGCAATGTCAAGAAGAAGGGTGGAGCATGCTCAGCAACACGCAGCAGTTTCTTCAGCTTCCATCAGATCTTTCCGTCTCCCCGCAGGGGTTCAGAAACATGTACTCACCCGCCACAGAAATGGGCTTTCAGGTGGGGAGTTTGAAGCAGCGTTTTAAGGGATACAAAGGCCACTTTGCTCTTCCCCCATCCAACAGCCCAATCCTCTCATTCTGCTCCTGCTCTCCGGCCTGGAGGCAGCCACGGCGGTGCCTTCCCGGCAGGCACCGCAAAGGCAGCGCCCTCGGTTCCGGCGGCTCCGCATCCAACACGCACGAATGTTCAGGAATATTCAGGGCATGGAAAGCAGCTTCCATCCCGGGGGAGGGAGGAGAGCCGGGCGGCCGGGGACTCGTCACCGCCGGCTCGATGGAAAACATGAGCTCAGACCAACTCCAGGGCAGCCCCGAGGGGAAGGCACCCACTAGCCCTCATCTCCAGCATCCTAGGTAAATCGGTTAAGGTAATTACATTACCACTCACTTAACTCTCTGGACGCCGTGTTCCTTGTTTCTTAGCCCTTGGGAGCTGCAGGATCTTGGAGAGGCTCCGTGCAGATGCAGGCGGGCTCTGAACCAACACGTTTAAGAGCGTAAAGCCCAGGACAGACAGAAAAGCAGCAGGAGCGAACAGCACTTATGACCATGTGCTTGACGGAGGCTGAAATCCACACGCTGTTTCCAGCATAAACCCCTCATTTCTACCCCTGGGATAGGAAAAAGCCAGGAAAAACCTCAAGACTGAACTCTTCCGAGAAGGGCTGTGGATCTGCAAGGGAAGATTTAAGCAGGAAGCCGGGCGCGCCATGCGCTCTGCCGGGCCGGCGGAGCACGGAGAGGGCAGCTCCGAACAACGTGCCCGCTTCGGGGAACAAAGGTTTGTTCTAATGGAGCTGTTATGAAAACACCAGAAAGGAAAGAGCAGCCAGGGCACATTCCAGCCTTCAAGTACAGTTAAAAGGAAATATTAGTCTGAAGCATCTCCTTTATTAAAGCTTTATCAAAACCCTCAAAGCACGAATTAAAACACGTTGCAGCCGCACACCTTTCCCCACGACTGCTCTTTTGGGCTTGCTTTGGACACAGCCAAGCTCTGCTCCTGCCAGCCTCGGGTCTAAGTTCCCAAATCCAAATGCAGGGCTACGGCTGCTGCGCCTGCGGACGCGCAGAAGCAAACAAAACTCTTCAGCGCGCTAATAAACGTGGTTTTGCAAACTCACTTTCCTATCTAGGACGCAAGCAGGCATCCTTTCAAGCGTGAACATTGCTTGTACCCACTTAGCTTCATTCACAGTGTGAAGAATGAGTTTAGCTGCAAGGGATGATACCAGGACCTGGGGCGCAGCAATGCACAGCAGAGAGATCCTTATCTGCGCCGCGGAGAGGCCAGCGCTTCCCTCCAAGGAGGGGTTTGTCCCACGGCGCGTCCTCGTTTCACCTCCTGCTTTTGCTGGCTGTTACACTAGGCTGGTATGTTCTGCCTTTGAGATAAAGGTGGGTTTTCTTCTTCTGAAGAATGGTGATTTTTAGCTTTGCGCCTCTCCTTGTCCCTAAGGGGAGCAGGGTAAACGAAGCAGATCAAGAGCTGGGAGCAGCCCAGGGCAGCATGTGGTCCACGAGAGCCTCGAGGGTCACCCTGGAGCCCCTTCTATCCGGGCTGCAGGAACAGTCCCACATTTGGGACAATTTCCATCAGGTGGAGCCAGGTTCCCAAGTCCCTCCCCATCCTCAGCACGGAGGTGTCCGGCACAGGCGGCACCGGAGCGGAGAACCACCCAACGCAGATGGCCAAACTTGCCAGGGCAAGACCGGATTCCTGCTGACGGAAGGGCCCGGTGCGCGCAGGAAAGGCTGCTCCGTGCCAGGCTCGCAGGGAAGCGGCAACCAACGAGCTTCCAGCAAGGAGCAGAATTACAAGGCAGCTCCCGCAGATCCAGCATTTCAAGTCGGATAATCCAGGAGGGAAAATTCTTCTCCCCGTCACTAGGAGCCAAGAAAAAGGGACTGGTCCTTTGCTGCACATGGCAGGCACCAAACGTGCCATGGACCTGAAGTCCGATGAGGCATCTCCCAGGGCGCTCCCAAACGGAATGGGGAACGCTCAGGCACATCAGGAGGAGATGGGATCAAATTAGAGACTTTTCCAAACCGACTGCCTTCTTTTCAATTCAAAAGAAAAGCTCTCCTTGAGCAAAATGTATAATCTGCTTAATAAAACAGATTGGACATAAGGAAACAAAAGAGCCCTTCACACCGTGGGGGTGGGTGAATCCACTCCTGCAAAAGCGCCTGGGGATGAGTTTGCACGAGAGGTGCCTGGAAGCTCCAGAGGTGCCTGGAAGCTCGGCACGCTCGCCTTGACAAACCCAGCCCTGCAAAGAAGCTGTTTAAACAAGCCTAACGTTGAGCTGCAGCTCCTCAGATCGAGGGCTTTGTTCTGAGCCAAGAGATAGCCCAGATTCGTATTTATTTACAGCAAAGCAGCCGCCGCGGTGATTGAAGCCGGGGCAGAAGGCAGGCGGTCACGACAGCGATTGCAGGAGCCCGCGGGCGAACGCAGGGACCGGAGCGGCATCACCATGAGGACACGGGGACGCTTCCTTGGGAGAGGAAAATCCAAGGTTTGGGTGCTGGGATGGTCCTGAGCTGCCTCTGCTCCCCAAGAAATTCAGCGCAGCAACCAGACCCCTGCCTCATGCGCTCCTGCATGGCAGTGTTAATATTCTTTTTATATTAATTACAAGTGAGAAGAAAATAAGATAAGGCCCTCCATTAAGAAATTCCCACATTAAAGGTAACATACTTAGGAGGTGAATCCGCACAAACAGGTGGGGTTCTTGGATTGGAGCTCTGGGCTCCAGCGAGACTGAAATATGAAGCTTTGACACTCCAAGAACAGGTTTCCTGCTGCAAATATTTGAGCTTGTTTTGCACATATTTACTCTTGCTCACAAATGCCTGCATCGAGACGCCCATGTGGCGGGACAGGAGAGAGTTTCACATCACAGTTTTCTATATTGGTGCTAATCACCTTCAAGAATGTATTTTATATAAACTCCTGAGCTCTGCTAGGCAAAATACCTTGTATTTTTTTCAGGGTAAAATGCTACCTGATTGGGATATTTTAAGATAATTAACCTGAAGACTATCATTGATAAACCTGCCAATAACCACCCACGTATTTACCAGTCGAACAGGTTCTTGTGCAGATAGGAAGCTGCTGTTCTTTTTCAGCTGAAAGTTTTGAGCTGAGTTTTTGAGGCTGGAAGAAAGAAGCTTGCCCTGACTTCAGGGTCTAAAACTCTGCAATTTATTGCTGTGATTGATTACGGCTCCGCACAGCGCCCGACTTAATGAGACCCAATCTGGGAGCAGTGTCTTCCCGCTCCTGCAACACGATGTGAACGAGAGAAACGGAAAACAGCTGGGTTTTACTTCTGCTGCTTCTTCAGATGCTGTAATGAGGAGGGACGTGTGTAAACACGCTCGGGAGAAACAAAAACCTTTCCGTGCACCTTCGCTGTGCGAAAGCAGCGAGCGAATACCCATTATCGTGTTTGCCCTGGATTAGGCTGGAAATTAAATCCACTCCCCTGCAGGGATAGCATTCCCACCTCCAAGGCCTTTCCTACCTCTTGCTGCCTTATCAAATCCTCCATCTACTTGCAGATCTAGCAGCACCTCTTGCTCCTCACAGCGCTTCTGGAAGCCTACTGACCCCCTGCTGCTAAATAAAACAGACAAGTTAAAATTAACTGCAAAACGCTATAAAAAGCGCTTTTGCATAAGCCGCCCAGAAACTGAAAGTTATCCGGGGATATTTAAAGTTAGAAACGAGAAGATCCCGATCTTTTCGAGGCAGCTGCGAGGCCCCTGTGCGCAGGGCTGGGCCTGACACCAACGCGCAGCCGCCTAGAAAACACACGCAGAGGAGGAGGAGGAGGAGGAGGAGGAGGAGGAAGCTGCGAGAACACTGCCATCTCCCCTCCGAAGGGAAGAGTTTTGCCCGCATCCACCAGAAGTGACACAAAAGAAGAGCTTCTAAATGCATTTTAGATGAGCAAACTGACAGAAGTCTCATCCTTAATAGGTTAATTAAAAGAGAGCCTGACATTTCTGCTATTGTTGCTCTCCAACTCAGAAAACAGGCGC